ACTGGCGGAAAGTGGACCTTGACTGGCAGACAGTGGATCTTACTGGCAGACAGTAAACCTTGACTGGCAGACAGTGAATCTTGATAGATCATGACACGGTGTCGACTCATATCTACCCAGTAAGGCCACATCACACGGTGTCGACTCATGTCTATTCAGTAAGGCTATATCACACGGTATCGACTCATGTCTACATAGCATGGTCACTTGACACGGTGTGGACTCAATATCTACCCAGTAAGGTCACTTGACAGTGTGTCGACTCATGTCTACTGCGGCCAGCAATAACAGCCTGGTTGATCAGGCCCTGATCCACTGGGAGGCCTGTTCGTGGACCGGGCCAGCGGGGAATGCCCGGAATGCCCGGAATGCCCTCCAGGTAGACTCCAGGTACGCAGTAAGGCCACGTGAAACTGTCTGGACACATACACATGCCGTTGTTCCTGGGCACGGTGTCACCACTGGGCACGGTGTCGACACATACACACACTTGCCGTTGTTCCTGGACACGGTGTCACCACTGGACACGTTGCCGACACATACACACACTTGCCGTTGTTCCTGGACACGGTGTCACCACTGGACACGGTGCCGACACATACACACACTTGCCGTTGTTACTGAACACGGTGTCACCACTGGACACGTGTTCACTTATAGCTATTCACAAGTGTTCACTTAGAAGCTTCTTGAAGTAGGTTCTAAGTTCTGTTCTTGATGGGGGATGGAGAAAGCTGGTTGAATCCAGCTGGTAGTGGTGGTCAGCAGCGCCAGCTGGACCAGACAATTTTATCACAGATGGTGCTGTCGCTGCCTTCAACCTGAAACAACGTAAAGTTCACTTCTAGGGTCAGTCACTTCTTAAGTTCAGTTCAAAGTTAGCATCTAAGTTCATTTCTCAGTTAACTCCTAAGTCGGCTTCTAAACTGACTTTTAAGTGACATCGAAGTGGAGCTCTAATATCCACTGCTACATCACTAGGCCTACTTAACTTCAGCTAAACATTTGCTACACAGCTAGGCCTATACCAGCCTAGGAGTCAGACTTTACCACACCACCTACTGTTAGACTACTAGGCCTACGCCGGCCTAGACCAACACATACCTTCGCTATATTAAGTCGAGAGTGTGTAAGACATCCTTACTCTTCTTCCTAACTCTGCGATCGATGGTAGGCAGCGCCTGCAACCTGCTAGGTTTCTTGTTGGAGGATTCCGGCGACAGAGACGAGAAACCGCTCCCTGGGGAGGGGGGAAGAGAGAGGTTTAACGAGGGGAGAGAGGAAGAGAGGGAAAGTGTGTGTGTGTGTGTGTGTGTGTGTGTGTGTGTGTGTGTGTTTGTGTGTGTTTGTGTGTGTGTGTTTGTGTGTGTTTGTGTGTTTTTGTGTGTTTGTGTGTGTTTGTGTTGTGTTTGTGTGTGTGTTTGTGTGTGGTGTGTGTGTGTGTTGTGTGTGTGTGTGTTGTGTGTGTGTGTGTGTGTTGTGTGTGTTGTGTGTGTGTGTGTGTGTGTGTGTGTATGTGTGTGAAACTTCATCCCTTGTGAACACTGTCTCAAGAAATATATACGGGAAACTGGAAGAAATCTTCTTGTTCACCTGTGTGAACATAGAAGCACCTGCATCAGGTTCGAATTTATAAACACCTGCCCATGAGCACCGGTGTTCAGGAACACATGTGTCCTCCATCTAAAAAACAGCAAGATATTTAATGACTTTTAATGAGGCGCAACTTGCTTCACTGAACCCAAGCTTAGACGTCGTAGGTACCTGAGAACCCCCACTGAACCTTAGATTAGACCTCAAAGGTGCCTGGGTACCCTCATGAACCCAAGGTTACACATCAAAAGTACTTGGAACCTTCGTTGAACTCTAGCTTAATCGTCGAAGGTAACTTGAAGCCTCGCTGATGGCCAGATCGCCGTCACCGATACAATGGGAAAATATTAAAGGAATCTACTCAGATTCAACAAGTGTCATATATGACACTCATACTATCTACTTGACAGTAACTGTCTTACATGACACTCAAATAATCTACATGACAACAATTCCGTTATACATGAAGCTCATGATACCTCCTTGACAACAACACTGTCATGCTTGACACTCAAGCCAGCAACTTTACGACAACATTGTCATACATGACACTTACGCTACTTACTTGACATTAATAGTCATACATGACACTCAAACCGTCTACTTGAAATCAACATTTATTATACATGACACTGAAGCTACCTACTTGACAACAACAGTGTCATACACGGCATTCAAGCTACCTACTTGACAACAACAGTGTCATACATGACACTGAAGCTACCTATTTGACAACAACAGTGTCATAAACGGCATTCAAGCTATCTACTTGACAACAACAGTGTCATACACGGCATTCAAGCTACCTACTTGACAACAACAGTGTCATACATGACACTCAAGCTACCTACTTGACAACAACAGTGTCATACACGGTACTCAAGCTATCTACTTGACAACAACAGTGTCATACACGGCATTCAAGCTATCTACTTGACAACAACAGTGTCATACACGGCATTCAAGCTACCTACTTGACAACAACAGTGTCATACACGGCACTCAAGCTATCTACTTGACAACAACAGTGTCATACATGACACTGAAGCTACCTACTTGACAACAACAGTGTCATACATGACACTGAAGCTACCTACTTGACAACAACAGTGTCATACACGGCACTCAAGCTATCTACTTGACAACAACAGTGTCATACACGGCACTAAAGCTACCTACTTGGCAACAACAGTGTCATACATGACACTGAAGCTACCTACTTGACAACAACAGTGTCATACACCTCACTCAAGCTACTTATTTGACAACAACAGTGTCATACATGACACTCAAGCTATCTACTTGACAACAACAGTGTCATACACGGCACTCAAGCTACCTATTTGACAACAACAGTGTCATACATGACACTCAGGCTACCTACTTGACAACAACAGTGTCATATATGACACTCAGGCTACCTACTTGACAAAAACAGTGTCATACATGACACTCAGGCTACCTACTTGATAACAACAGTGTCATACACTTCACTCAATCTACTTATTTGACAACAACAGTGTCATACACGGCACTCAAGCTACCTATTTGACAACAACAGTGTCATACATGACACTCAGGCTACCTACTTGACAACAACAGTGTCATACATGACACTCAGGCTACCTACTTGACAACAACAGTGTCATACATGACACTCAAGCTACCTATTTGACAACAACAGTGTCATACATGACACTCAGGCTACCTACTTGATAACAACAGTGTCATACACTTCACTCAAGCTACTTATTTGACAACAACTGTGTCATACATGACACTCAAGCTATCTACTTGACAGCAACAGTGTCATACACGGCACTCAAGCTACCTATTTGACAACAACAGTGTCATACATGACACTCAGGCTACCTACTTGACAACAACAGTGTCATACATGACCAAAGCTACCTATTTGACAACAACAGTTGCATACATGACACTCAAGCTACCTTTTTGACAACAACAGTGTCATACATGCATCAGGCTACCTACTTGACAAACAACAGGGGTCATACATGACACTCAGGCTACCAAACTTGATAACAACAGTGTCATACACTTCACTCAAGCTACTTATTTGACAACAACAGTGTCATACATGACACTCAAGCTATCTACTTGACAACAACAGTGTCATACACGGCACTCAAGCTACCTATTTGACAACAACAGTGTCATACATGACACTCAGGCTACCTACTTGACAACAACAGTGTCATACATGACACCAAGTACCTATTTGACAACAACAGTGTCATACATGACACTCAAGCTACCTATTTGACAACAACAGTGTCATACATGACACTCAGGCTACCTACTTGACAACAACAGTGTCATACATGACACTCAGGCTACCTACTTGACAACAACAGTGTCATACATGACACTCAGGCTACCTACTTGACAACAACAGTGTCATACATGACACTCAGGCTACCTACTTGATAACAACAGTGTCATACACTTCACTCAAGCTACTTATTTGACAACAACAGTGTCATACATGACACTCAAGCTATCTACTTGACAACAACAGTGTCGTACACGGCACTAAAGCTACCTACTTGGCAACAACAGTGTCATACATGACACTGAAGCTACCTACTTGACAACAACAGTGTCATACATGACACTCAGGCTACCTACTTGACAACAACAGTGTCATACATGACACTCAAGCTACCTATTTGACAACAACAGTGTCATACATGACACTCAGGCTACCTACTTGACAACAACAGTGTCATACATGACACTCAAGCTACCTACTTGACAACACAGGAAACACTGACCCTCATGGACTTTCTGACGTTATCTCATGAACATGTTATTAGAAGACGGGGGAACTTACGTACCTCTTAAGCTCTCCTACGTCAGAGTGATCATGGTCTCAGGACCAGATACATTTTCTGGTAAAAATGTTTTAGTGTTTCCTCACGAGCTTTTTAACAATGACATTGTTAACCATGCAAGAAAACTTTGCTCCTCTGTACCATGCAGTGAAACAACATTGCAGAGTGCAATGATCAGTGCAGGTTGCAGTGAACCAGCAGTGCTGAGGGAAAGCGAGAGCTGCTTAGAGAAACAGGGTGGTGACGGTGAGGGACACAGCCATAAGTGAGGTACGCCTGAACACCAGTTAAGGACACATAGCGAGCAGAAGATGACACATAACGAGCAGTGGATGACACTTTGCAAGCAGTGAACGACACATAACGAGCAGTGAATGACATATAGCAAACAGTGAAAAGCACATAAAGGGCAGTGAGGAGTAGCAGTGCTTCTTACCTACCTAACCATCCATTACTCGTCAATCCTGCTTCTCCTCCTCCTCCTCCTCCTCCTCCTCCTCCTCCTCCTCCTCCTCCACCTCCTCCTCCACCTCCACCTACACTGGAGGAGGAGGAGTTGGAACCCCAGGAAGAGTTGTATAAGCTGGAACCTTGAGAGTTGTTGAAGGAGGAGCTCAGATTCAAGGTGTTGCCCCACATGCTTTGCCCGAGGCTCATGTTGAGCACAGTGTTGCTGGTGCTGTTCTTCTTAGTGCTGCTGGATTTGCCTGAGGAAAATGAGGACTGACTTAGCACCTGGTGGTTCAGGGAAGCATTCCCTGGGTATGCTACATGTCAAACATCGGGGCATCACCTTTCTACCCACGCTTAAAAAAAAAGTCACCCCCTACCCCAGTCGTCAACCACTGTGACAGAGAGATACCCATTCTTCACCTCCATAATTCTCGACAGACTAACCCATATCAACACGTTTTTGGGGCTTGCAAAATGTTGCAAAAAAAATTTGTGCAGTGCAGAATATATAAACAACATCCAATATTATTTGTTTTACACACACAGATTAAAAAAAACGCTATTTAAAGACTCCTAATAATTGTTTACATCTTTCCTGGTCAACCAACCAGGAGCCAAGACTCACACAGCAACAACAACAACAACAACAACAAGAGAAGTAGCTGGTGAAATCAATGTTCCAGAACAAGACTCACACAGCAGCAACAGCTGCTGCGGGTTTATCCACTGTCTTACCCATCATGTTAGTGTCTTCTTGAAACTTGACCAAGAGTTCGTTGGCTCTCTTCTTGGGCTTGAAGTAGTTGCCAGCGATGTCTTCCTCAACGCTCTTCTGAAGTTTCTGCTGAAGGTTTGAATGAGAAAGTTAGTTAGAGAAGCATCAGTGCTGGTTGATTAAGTACCACAGTGACTGCAGCAACAGTGCTACTGCAACAAGTGTTACGGGTACACCAGTGACTGCAGCAACAGTGCTACTGCAACAAGTGTTACGGGTACACCAGTGACTGCAGCAACAGTGCTACTGCAACAAGTATCACGGGTACACCAGTGACTGCAGCAACAGTGCTACTGCAACAAGTATCACGGGTACACCAGTGACTGCAGCAACAGTGCTACTGCAACAAGTATCAAGTGTACAACAGTGACTGCAGCAACAGTGCTACTGCAACAAGTATCACGGGTACACCAGTGACTGCAGCAACAGTGCTACTGCAACAAGTATCACGGGTACACCAGTGACTGCAGCAACAGTGCTACTGCAACAAGTATCACGGGTACACCAGTGACTGCAGCAACGTGCTACTGCAACAAGTATCACGGGTTTCACCAGTGACTGCAGCAACAGTGCTACTGCAACAAGTACAAGTGTACAACAGTGACTGCAGCAACAGTGCTACTGCAACAAGTATCACGGGTACACCATACTGCAGCAAACAGTGCTACTGCAACAAGTATCACGGGTACACCAGTGACTGCAGCAACAGTGCACTGCAACAAGTATCACGGGTACACCAGTGACTGCAGCAAAAAGTGCTACTGCAACAAGTATCACGGGTACACCAGTGACTGCAGCAACAGTGCTACTGCAACAAGTATCACGGGTACACCAGTGACTGCAGCAACAGCGCTACTGCAACAAGTATCACGGGTACACCAGTGACTGCAGCAACAGTGCTACTGCAACAAGTATCAAGTGTACAACAGTGACTGCAGCAACAGTGCTACTGCAACAAGTATCACGGGTACACCAGTGACTGCAGCAACAGCGCTACTGCAACAAGTATCACGGGTACACCAGTGACTGCAGCAACAGCGCTACTGCAACAAGTATCACGGGTACCCAACAGTGAAATGCAGCAACAGTGCTATGCAACAAGTACAAGTGTACAACAGTGACTGCAGCAACAGTGCTACTGCAACAAGTATCACGGGTACACCAGTGACTGCAGCAACAGCGCTACTGCAACAAGTATCAAGTGTACAACAGTGACTGCAGCAACAGTGCTACTGCAACAAGTATCAAGGGTACAACAGTGACTGCAGCAACAGCGCTACTGCAACAAGTATCAAGGGTACAACAGTGACTGCAGCAACAGTGCTACTGCAACAAGTATCACGGGTACAACAGTGACTGCAGCAACAGTGCTACTGCAACAAGTATCACGGGTACAGCAGTGACTGCAGGTACAGTGCTACTGGAGCAAGTATCACTGGTATAGCAGTGACTGCAGCAACAGTGCTACTGGAACAAGTATCACTGGGTACAGCAGTGACTGCAGGTACAGTGCTACTGGAATAAGTATCACGGGTACAACAGTGACTGCAGCAACAGTGCTACTGGAACAAGTATCACGGGTATAGCAGTGACTGCAGGTACAGTGCTACTGGAGCAAGTATCACTGGTACAGCAGTGACTGCAGGTACAGTGCTATTGGAACAAGTATCACTGGTACAGCAGTGACTGCAGGTACAGTGCTACTGCAACAAGTATCACTGGTACAGCAGTGACTGCAGCAACAGTGCTAATGGAACAAGTATCACGGGTTTCAGCAGGTGACTGTAGGTACCAGTGCTACTGGGGCAAGTATCACTGGTACAGGGAGTGACTGCAGCAACAGTGCTAATGGAACAAGTATCACGGGTACAGCAGCGACTGCAGCAACAGTGCTAATGGAACAAGTATCACGGGTACAGCAGTGACTGTAGGTACAATGCTACTGGAGCAAGTATCACGGGTACAGCAGTGACTGCAGCAACAGTGCTACTGGAACAAGTATCACGGGTACAGCAGCGACTGCAGGTACAGTGCTACTGGAGCACGTATCACGGATACAGCAGTGACTGCAGCAACAGTGCTACTGGAACAAGTATCACGGGTACAACAGTGACTGCAGGTACAGTGCTACTGCAACAAGTATCACGGGTACAGCAATGACTGCAGGTACAGTGCTACTGGAGCAAGTATCACGGGTACAACAGTGACTGCAGCAACAATGCTACTGGAAAAAAGTACACGGGTACAGCAGTGACTGCAGGGACAGTGCTACTGGAGCAAGTATCAAGGGTACAACAGTGACTGCAGCAACAGTGCTACTGCAACAAGTATCACGGGTACAGCAGTGACTGCAGGTACAGTGCTACTGGAGCAAGTATCAAGGGTACAAACAGTGACTGCAGCAAAAAGTGCTACGCAACAAGTATCACTGGTACAGTAGTGACTGCAGGTACAGTGCTACTGGAGCAAGTATCACGGGTACAGCAGTGACTGCAGGTACAGTGCTACTGCAACAAGTATCACGGGTACAGCAGTGACTGCAGGTACAGTGCTACTGGAGCAAGTATCACGGGTACAACTGTGACTGCAGCAACAATGCTACTGGAACAAGTATCACGGGTACAGCAGTGACTGCAGGTACAGTGCTACTGGAGCAAGTATCAAGGGTACAACAGTGACTGCAGCAACAGTGCTACTGGAGCAAGTATCACGGGTACAACAGTCACTGCAGCAACAGTGCTACTGGAACAAGTATCACTGGTACAGCAGTGGCTGCAGCAACAGTGCTACTGGAACAAGTATCATTGGTACAGCAATGACTGCAACAACAGTGCTACTGGAACAAGTATCACGGGTACAGCAGTGACTTCAGGTACAGTGCTACTGGAGCAAGTCTCACGGGTACAGCAGTGACTGCAGCAACTGTGCTACTGGAACAAGTATCACGGGTACAGCAGTGACTGCAGGTACAGTGCTACTGGCACAAGTATCACGGGTACAGCAGTGACTGCAGGTACAGTGCTACTGGAACAAGTATCACTGGTACAGCAGTGACTGCAGGAACTGTGCTACTGGAACAAGTATCACGGGTACAGCAGTGACTGCAGGTACAGTGCTACTGGCACAAGTATCACTGGTACAGCAGTGACTGCAGCAACTGTGCTACTGGAACAAGTATCACGGGTACAGCAGTGACTGCAGGTACAGTGCTACTGGAACAAGTATCACGGGAACAGCAGTGACTGCAGCAACAGTGCTACTGGAGCAAGTATCACTGGTACAGCAGTGACTGCAGCAACAGTACGCAGCACTGTGCTGCTACAGATGTTACCCTCAAAGACACGTCTTACAAATATATGTTGATAATCCCAGCATCAAGAACGTAACTGTGAACAAGACAGACGTGCAGCACATGGCCATGTTACTAAGACACAGTCTATGACGTTTAACTGTGACAACGTTTAAGAGGTACATAAGTTACCCCCGTCTTTTAATAACATGTTCATTATTCTACTATAATCTACCTTGTCTATAATCACTATCGCATTTGCTTTGTCTGTTTCGTAACGTGAACTCCAGGATCTTCCTTAATTCATGGTATACCTTCAACCTCAGATATCTGCAACACAACACGACCTCTACAACACAATTGTCCTCAAAGATTTGTTAAGTTATACCATGAATTAAGGAAAGATCCTGGCCTTCACCTTACGAAACAGACAAAGCAAATGGGATAGTAATTATGCACAAGGTAGATTATAGTGGAAAAATGAACATGTTATTAGAAGACAGGGGTACTTACGTGTGCCTTAACCCAGCAGGGAGGGGTACTAACGTGCCTCTCAGTGACATCCTGGTTATTGCTACAAGATCCTTCGGTTCTTGCAACCTTCTTAACAATAAACTCGGTAGAGTACCCAATTAAATTTACCTTTTCTGAACGTCGAGATCTGCAAGAAAGAAGAAAAAGTGAAATTTCAAGGCACATCCCTCGCCCACTGATAACATTGGTGTTCTGACACACTTGTGCAATATTGGGGAATCTTTAATGTGGAAAAGTTCCGCCAGTCAGTGGCGTCTTCAGTTCTATACAGAGAAGAGCGGTGGAAGATGAGTAGTAGTTTGAGGTTATGAGTCCCTCAGCCTGGAGTCGATGTGTTTACTCCATCAGTCTTGAGACATAAAACGGGTCTCCTGTCACGTTCATTACTAACTTCTAAAACACTGAGGAAATTTATCCTCTGCGGTTGCAACAGTGATGTTACAAACACTGTATAAAGCTATACTGAACGTATTTGACTGAACACCTTACTGACTCAACTGGCGTTGAACTTTAAGGTACCACTTGACAGAACACCTTACCACAGGTAAGAACTTGTTTCTCCACTCTAACTGTCGTCTTTCTACTCATCTCTGAGAGAATTAACAAAGTCTCCTGGGCGGGAGAAACGTCGTCTCAGTAGAATGTCATAAACTGCATCTTGTATAATATTAACACACTTGTTAACATTAACCTAAAATCAATATAATTTTGTGTGTGAATCTAATGTGTTGTAAACAACAGGACAGCCTGAGCAGCGGCACTGAGCAGCGGCACTGAGCAGCGGCACTGAGTCGTGGGGGAGTCACTTCTAAGATGGTCCTGATTGAATCACTTCTAAGATTGTCCTGACTGAATCACTTCTAAGATGGTCCTGACTGAATCACTTCTAAGATTGTCCTGACTGAATCACTTCTAAGATTGTCATGATTGAATCACTTCTAAGATGGTCCTGACTGAATCACTTCTAAGATGGTCCTGACTGAATCACTTCTAAGATTGTCCTGATTGAATCACTTCTAAGATGGTCCTGATTGAATCACTTCTAAAATTGTCCTGACTGAATCACTTCTTAAAATGGTCCTGACTGAATCACTTTAAGATGTTCCGGGCGAATCACTTCTAAGATTGGGCCTGACTGAATCAACTTCTAAGATTATCCTGACTGAATCACTTCTAAGATGGTCCTGACTGAATCACTTCTAAGATGGTCCTGACTGAATCACTTGTAAGATTGTCCTGACTGAAT